TTCACTTCAGCTCCATTGATCGTGAAATGTACTCACTTAACACTTTTTTTAACTCTTCAAGTCCACCTAAAACTTCTTAGAACATCATAAAGAAAGCCAACTTGTCGCTCCCATTTGTGATCAATTGCATCATATTGTTCCATGAACCACTATACTTCACGCAGAAGACAGCAGGGACTCTACTTCTGGTCTTCCGTTTTTCGAACCCATACTCCTGTTTTTATACCATTCCTCGAAAAATAAGGATCTTCCTCTTCCAAAAAATTGGCATATAGCTCTATTTAACCGCCTTCATCTCTGCAATTCATGACTCACACAAGTACACCAGTTTGCCACCAATCGATCTTGTGTTTGTGAACGGTGCCTAGTTAACTTTTATTTATCTTTCGATGTCTCTGTGGTGATTGTCGATATTCCACAACAAGCGGTAGGCCGTAACAAAGGCTATATTCCATGTCTGTGGTGTGATTCCTCATAACCTTATCACTCCTCCGTTGTCACGGTGATTCTCAGAGGACAGATAGGGATGATGTTCAACTGTTGATGCTTGGATCCAACAAAGCGAAAGCCTTTTGTTGAAGGATTTATTGTGATGTTTCTCAACTGGTTGAGAAAACCACTTATCGTTACATTGTAATTCTTGTCCAAGGGCAGTTGAGTGCAATATTTTACATAGAAAAAAGAAGTGTGAAACCTGCAGCTTCGGTAACAAGTCAGACCTGAATCACGGTGTGTTTTTAACGGTGTCTGCATGTCACGATGTACCTTCTACATAACCGCGTTTTTTAAAACCTGAAGCGTCGTTGAAACCGCGTAGATCAGTTCCAACCCAATTGTCTCTTTACCGCAACTGTAAGGCTGTAAAGGAAATCTACTGAATACATCCGACAAAGTGGGGTATTATTGTCGGCGTAAAGGAGTCAAAAAATATTGCGACAGGTCTGGTGTTAACTTGGTTGAACTCTTTTTGAAGACGCATGAGAAATCTTTGTTTGTTGTGTTATACGTGAACTAAAATGCATGTGTCGGAGTGACATCATGTTTTTGTTCGAATAAGTGTTGTGTAATCGAAGATCTGAGTCTTTTTTGTTCAATCCATAAGGTAACATTTGTCGTCCATCGCCACACGGGGACGTGTTCGACCATTCGGTCATCAACAACACAACAAGCGGAAAGTTACTGAAGTTTACTGAGGCTTTGCCCATTCTTACACTCAAAGCTGATCTATATGGGAGTCAACCAGAATTGGGTGTATGTTGTTTGAGTTACATTATCTTGCATTGCCATGACAACTGGTCTTGACATGAGGTGTGCCGTTTGGTTAGAAGCGATTTTCATGCAAGAATCCTGCCTATACCTAACGACATTCAAACGGATCTCATTGGCAGGCATGAGCATTTCGCTTGCTGAAAACGATTCCCATTTTCCCCCTAAACTGGTTATAATGTAAATTGTGAGTCCAGCTCGGTTCATTCCTGTTTCAAGGTTGTTGAGACGAAAACGCATTTCTTTCACAGATATCGAGCATTTATCATTACGACTTTCTGCTTATCTGTGATAGATCACCGGCAGATTTCAAGTATTGGAATGGGGATCAATGGCGTATTGATTACGAAAATCAGGTCGTCCGGTTGCGTTTCGTTTTAATCGAGTAGATGCAATAGAGCGGAAACACATTCCCGATTTGAAAGTTCAACTGCTGTTCGTTTGTCCTTTAATCCGGCGAAACTGGGTCAAGTGACAAAACATGATTACAACTCACCATCCTATTCACACACACACCCCTAAATGTTTGTGCATCCGGCGCTGGAAAGTTGATCGGTTTATTTTGACCTTTTGCTGGTCGTGAAAAAACGATTAACAATTATCAGTAATTGCACGATGAATTTGTCAGACTGCGACAGCAGGCATTTGGTCTCGATGATTGCGTCAGATCTGAGCTTTGGGGAAACATGCAAAGAATTCAATCGTCTTATTCAACTGTTGTTGGAGATGTAATTTGGCCTGATGAGGTTGTTTTCTATCTCCATGACAGAATAGATATTTTATAATGGAAGCACATCACAGTTACACTCCCCAATAACCCTGTTTGATTTGGGATGTTTAATATGAAGCTTTTAGGGCTGAATTTCTTCCGTGTCACAGTTTATGGATTAACTTACTTGCCGTTGTTTCTGAGCTAATAATCCGATTTATTCAATCAACGAACACAAAGGAAAGACAGCATGATGCACAGCTAGCCACTATTCAGGTGCCGTGAAAACTAGGTTTGACAAAACACTTTCACGGAAATAGTTCATACGTGTGAAGTCTTGCCCTGGACGCCTAAATCCGCAATACTACTCTGTATGTGTACAAAGATCGTTTGCGAACTTTAACATAGAACTTATCAAAGTGGTGAAAACGCGAATAGTTGCGTGTAGTGGTTGTATAGAGGTGGGTTTCAAAATATTATACACAGGCTTCTTGGATTGATTTTTTTCTGATCACACCACCGTGAAGGTAAAAAAAACAGCCTCAGTTGTTCTTCTCTAAACAGATTTTGCCTGAAAGAAACGCTCCTTGCATCTTTTTTGTGAAACTGAAACGGACGCTTCTCCCTTTAGCAGACTGTGATTCTTGACTTCTTTGCATGTTTTCCGCAAACTCTGACCTCTTGTGTTTAGGCAGTTAGTGGTGGTGCAATGACTTAGTCGCCACGCCGGCGTGCTTTAGACCTTATAGACTGAGGTTCTGACCCCGAAATCCAACTTTGGCGATAGGCTACCGGTTTTCATGAATGAACAGCAGGTTCTCGTGACCATGAGGTTCACCCCACTTGCTATTCATCACACTAAATTGCGTAATAGTAAAAAAACACTTTCTCGCTGTCTGTTAAGTCCATCTTACGATTACGGACAACTGTGCGACTGCTGTTTTCATGAGGAGTGAAAGGTCAAAACAGAACGGTCAACTTTCCTTCATTTTGTCAGTCGTATGTGGTGTTTCCAACCAACTCATAACGCTGGAGCCCAGTGCTGAAATAAGCGAGGTGCGATGCCCGCAACAAGCTTGCAAGGATGACTTGTGCTATATCGTGTATTTGGTTATGGAAACCGAAATTGTATAGAGTATGGAAAACGGTCTGTTCGGCTGTTTGGTGACCGAGTGGGTAGTTCTACCTGTGCGATCCCGGGTTTGATCCCCGTGTGTACTGATGGACTCAGTTCTCTGATGACACCCAACCAGGTCCAAACAGCTGTGCGGTGCTTCCCAGCCTTTCAGTTCACTGTTCATTTACTCTTTACACGACAAAATGCACTATAGACTCGGATCAAATCCTCCTTCACCAGATAGAAGGACGATCAGGGGAAGGAGAGATCAATGGGCTTGTGACTTACGGTTATGCTTTGCCATTTGACCAAGTTTCGACGGATTAAAGGATAAATGAACCACAGCAGAATTTTCTATTCAACAATATGTTTCTGATCTGGCTTTTTTCTCTCGGTTCAATGTGAGTGTCTCGCATATTGCAGCTCTACTTTTTTTCGAACGACACTGTTTGTCCTTAGACAATCTTCAACCCGGTTACACCCTTCCTCCCCTTCAAATTGACCGTATCGTTTTATTTTCAAGAAAACACAGTAGGTGACTCTAATTCCTATGCCTTTCTAGCATGTTTCTTCATATTATTTTGATGTGTATTATAATTTGAAATATGTAGAGCGGAAAAACGGCGCTACCAGGGTGATATTTTAAAAGAATGAGTGATTGATGTTTGTCTTGTATTGCAGATTATGCACTATATTGTTTTGCTAAAAGCTATTCATTTCTCATCTGGTATTTGATTTACCCAAATTATACTGTGGAAGAATATTCTCAGACAATATGGGAAACGGTGTTTGCGAAGAAATTTCTTTTCGATACATCGCATCAGGCGATCGCATACATAAAGTGATCATATTGTAGATGTCCAATTGGCTGATTACAGCTCTGTTCAGAACAATAACAGAGGCGAGCAAGCAGAGTAAGTGAATGGGATAAAGTAAGCGGAACTCCTTGCTAGAGTCGCAGAGGTAATGGAAGACAAAGGTCCAATGAAATAATGGTAGAGGGGTGGGTTAATCAAAATGTCGACGGCAGTTGTAAGCTAGAGTGAGAGATTTTGTGCATGATACACCATAGAAAATCAATGTCAAGCATATTGTGAGATTTAACCGGGAATGGACAACGGAAAAAAACAGTGGATTGTTAAGATTATGATAGATGGTACTGGGCCATGCACAATCACTCCTAGCCAGGGTAACGACAGTATCTGGACAGGCTCCTGTTGCTTGCATACTTCGGGACTGAAAATACGATTTGCGATCGCCTCACCTGTGCCTAAAAGGGGTTTTCTTATCCCCCTAGCATATCTCCGGGGTGTACGGTGAATTTTATATTTTGAAGGCATCCCGTTTGTCCACAACATGTCCGTTATCGATGAGGTGACCGAGCACCGAGTTACGAATATACCTCAACAATCCCCTGGTCGTTTGTCTAATGTATCGCATACTACAAATGCACGCGAAAATATATAAAACGAAGGATTTGGACTGATGAGGCAGTCTATCTTCTGTTTTCTGAAACGTTAAGGGTCGATCGGTAGTGAGGATATATGGTTAAGTTGCGGGAAACATTCTGGAGATCACGATCCAAGGATCGATGTCCTTTGAGATGTTTCAATGCAGTGTCGTCCTTATACGGAAGAATGATAAAACTTTCTTCCAAGGAACTGTCGGGTTTTTGATTGCGTTGGACTTCAACGGTATATGTTTATCAATGAAAGCTTCTGGATAACCATTAGACCGAAGCACATAATGACTAAAACATGTATCTTCGTTGCCAGTCACATGCGCTCGGTATGACAAACATCTGATCAGGTTGCGTCTATGTTTCAGGTGGACGAAGCTGCAGAACTGCGTATATTGTCCAACCCATGGTGTCTTTCGGGAAACGCTTCTTTGGATGGTACCGTCCTCTCACTTTGTTAATAACACATTTAAGAAGGGTATTTTTCCTTTTTTTTCTCTAAATCACGGGTGCAACGAGTTGTCGGATGATACCTATCAATTCGTCAAAAAGCTGTGTGTGGTTGATGTAAGTATCACAAACGACACAAGTTTCGTTGATATATCTGCGAGATATCTCGGAATGTCGAATGGTCTTTTTCAAATTTCCATTCTCTAGTTTGGCTAGAAAAAATATCTGTTTACATGGGACCTAGTGGAAACCTCATAGCTACTCCGTCAATTTGTCATTGTACAAAACTGTATTCTCAGCTGCATTTTTAACAAAACTATGATACCTTTTGATGTGAAATCCTTGTTTAAAAACGTGCAACTGATCGAGACAGTTGACCACGTATTTAACTTCTTAATATCCGGCCGCACTCTCGTCGGAATTTCGGTAAATAAATTCACATAGCTGATTCTCATGTGCAAACGCTTTTTTCTACACAGGGACTTCCTCCTACAATATGCGTTTAGGTAATGTTCATCAATCGTTCGACTTCTCTCCACCGCTGGTCCCGGTATCTACACAGAAGCAATGCGCACTGCTCATGTATCCCGATGAGAATGATAGTGCTGTTCAGTGCTCGTTACCATTTATTATTTGAGAATCATAGTTCTTTCTTTGTAATATTCATGCGTTTTCACGGACTCTAGGGTGAGTGTACTTACCAAATGCTGTATAACTAAAACATTGAGCAATGCATCAAATTTCCTCATCTTTCATTACCTTTCGTTTGCCACTGCTCCTATGCTGCGTGTGCAACCACACACGCGGACTTGCACACTAGTCGACCGACGCATGATTACATTACGAATACTCTGTTCCGGTTGAATGATCGATATCGACGTTGTTCGACAGGGGGTGGGAGTGGGGAACGGAAAATCTGTGCATTAGTCATTGACGGACTCGTGACATTATCCTCACAATGGGCACAACGGACATCATTCTGAAGATCATACTTGTCTATCACTCCAGAGCACAGAGGAGAATGATTGTCCGAATAATCTTCCTTGTTACATTCTCGTTTTCGAGTTTGCCCGGCCAAGATCGATCTTACACTGATAACGCACATTGTCGGCTGGGCTCGTTCATCAATGTTTTGTCAGGAATGGAGGTGGTTGTCCGTGGAATATATCGCAGATCTTTCTATTCACCTGATATGTATCGCATGATTTCTTGTATGGAGTACGCTTCCACCTGTTGTACCGAGCTTTCTATTGGCTTATCGACATACGCACTAGTTTCCTTTGTGCTAAAGAACATTCTAATCCAGAACAGTTTTGTTTGTTGTCGACCGTCAGTTCAGAGTAGCTGTGGTATCAGTGAGCCATTCGGACATGGTTTCCTACGTTTATTGATCTAAACTGCAAGGTGAAGCACTCCACCATTGCGCTTGAATAAATGCACTTATAAATTTCCGTTTTTTTCAACCCACACCAAGGTGTGATACAACAAGGCTAGAGAAAATCAAGTTGACTTTATAGAAACCTGCCATATCGTAGCAGATGTGATGTTGTTCATTGTTATAAAACTTAGATGTTACCTGTCCCACCCGATTGGCGGCTTGTTATCTTTCGTTCAATGTTTTTTCACAGAGTTTTTAAACCCTCCTTATCGCGGACATTTATGTCAAACTTTATTGTTCGCTCCCTTATGATCTCTCAAGGTTCACGAGCTACGGCACTATGCAAAGGGGACCCATTTTTCCGCATTAAAGAAGCATTTGATGTACAACATCGATAAATCCTAATCGAGTTTGCTTTGTGTTTTTAACAGTTGACATTATTCTTACACTCGAATATCAAGACAATATGTTGTGCTTGGCTAATAACAAGAATAAGTTGATCCAGTTTTTCGATGGCTTTTGTTTCAGGTATGTGGAAGTTTGGAGTTATTGTCTTTACTCTTTATCTTTTATTTGTCATTGAACAGACAGTGGCTACTAACGTCTTCCAGAAACTGAAGGTAGGAAACTCTCAAACAGTGATTCCTCACCCTGTTTATTACACCACAGAATCAGACGCACACTGGACAGATTCTTTTCATCCGTCTCACTTTCTATTCGCAACCCTCCTCTTGTTCGTTTAGGGCAGCAACATCAATTCCCATGGGGATTGCGGTCCTACCGGAAATCCGAACTCAACGAGTGCCTCCCAGACCGGGGAAAATGTCCAGTTGAATTTCGTGCAGCATGACCTCGCATTGAAACGTCGCACTATGGCCGAGTTGGAACGGGCCAATTTGCGACGTGCTGTCGTGGAAGAACGCCGCCGATTTGCCGAACTAATCACCTGCCTCAAACCTGTTCTCGTAAGCCGGTTTGCTTTCACTCGGTATTGTTCTGCATTTCGCGTCTGTTGCCGATCTCGTAATGGTTTGGACTGCTAGCTAGCCCCTTCTCGTTGTTCTCTGAATGGATGGGTTTAGTTGAAAGATCGTTTATACATATATTTGTCTGATATAATCTCACTTGAATTAGTCAAATGAAGTCTGAATGTATTTCTATGGGTATGAGAGTAATCAGGTATGTGGTCTGACAATCTGTGTGGACCATTCATAATTCCATGAGCGGAATTAATTTCCGAATGATGTTACTTTGAGACTGTAGTCAACTTTATCCGCGCCTCAAGGATCGCTATCGTTGAGCCCACCCACGCCGTTCATCCCGAAATCGATGTTGATGTTCACAGTTTACAGCAAAACTAATTCAGTCTCCCATTACACATATCCCTTCATCGCTAGTTCTCATTAAGTTCTTTATTCGACTCCTCTTTAGGTTAATTTCCAGTTCATAAACATGCAAGTTGTTTCAACCGGTACTTGCAGGCCCGTCCAGTATTCTCACATGGTTTCATTCTACTTGTGTCCTATTGACTGATTTATCTGGGAACAAACTGATCAAACGCTTTAACTGTTTGACCCTCAACGCGCATGTTACCAAATAGGTTGTCACGGCGCGCGATGATTACCGAGGCAAGTGCAAACAAGCCAAGGGTGGTCAAACTAAGACCTGGTGGCATGACGGTATGCAAGCCCTAACCAGGAAAGTCGGTTACATAGGTTGTGTTAGGCCCCTTGGCTGTGTACCTCAGGCTGATCGTAACGGGGGGTTAGAGACACTGAGTAATATGTCTGAGTGTCGTGATCAATGGTGCTCATTCATCTCAATTTCTTTGCAACCACTGAAATTCATCATTTTATCTTCCATTATACTTTCAACTTTCCTGTCTTTTTCCTACGGTTCATCCAAATGGGTAGCCAAAAGATAGCAATCAAAATCGGCGCACGAAAGTGCATGGTCTATGGTTGTTCAAACTGAAACTGCAACTTCGCAGTATCGGGATTTTTTTCTATCTACATTCCTTACTTATGCAGCAACCGAGCTGCACAATGGGAATAATGCTCTTATTTATTAGCGTTTGGTGGCTTTTACTGGGCTTTAAATGACTCTATTTTGTGTCGTATGTTACCAACCTTTTGAAATGATTCATCTCACAAACGAAATCGAATCATGGATCAACATGCACTGGTGACATCATTGAACTGTACTTACCGAAGTACTAAACCGTGTCAATACGCACTATCCACGAGACAATAGGACACTATTGCCATGGTATCTGCACCTGTTGTCTGTTCGCATAACTGGCCAATTCAAAGACCTTGGGACTTCAAATAAGCATGGTGTGGTTGTTGCTACATTTGTTTGTTTTCTGAATTTCCTTAGATTTTGGTGATCAGTGAATTAGTCTCATCTGTACATCCTGAATTCCATTACCACTAATACCCAGACATGCTCCTAGCTAATGATCCAAGTTTACGACCTTCTCCCACTCTCTCATACAAATTGTGACTTTGGACAGTGAACCATGCTGCCCACAATTGTGGTTAGTGGAGCTTTATCGTGCCTTTTTTTACATTCACTCTTGTTTACCGTCTTTCACACCAAGTCTGGGATCAATGAACAACACCGACGACGATCATTTCCACAGTCACGGAGTGCAAGGGTAGCGAAATATCTTTGCCGAATTTCTTAGTCGGATCTGTTGTGGTCGTAGTGAATTTTTGTACCGGTGCAAAGCTGGCCCATCTCCCCACATATTAGAACCGGATTGCGGACATTGTGTGTGTTCAGTGATAAAGGGGAAAAACAGTGACGATTCGTTTCAGTCGGCTGGACTGTGTTTATTTTGTGAATCGCGGTCCTTCATTGTTTGTGTTAAACGTCCAATCACCTGTTGCATGTGCTGCATTCTACCCTTCACCTGTCCTTTTTTGATATCTGAATTTGAGGTGATCTTATCCACGTCACTGCTGCTTTATCGATTATCATCCTTGTGGCATGACACCGTTTAGACTTCGGCTTCGTTTGAGAATTGTACAACCACCAGGGTAAGATTGGTTAAAACAACTTCTGGCCGCCAGCCGATTCGGATACACACTTCGTTTTTTGGCAAATTAGTCAAGTTCAGAATGTGGAAAATAATCTGCGTATTCAACGAAACACATGGTTCGCAGTCAAAATAGTTGCATACGTATGCAACACGCTGCGATTGGAAACTTTTTTTTGAGATCTAAGGTTCCGTTTAGTCATGTCGCTCACATGTGAATGCAGTTAATTTTATCTGTGTCAAGNTTAATTTTATCTGTGTCAAGTTAGAACGGATGGGTGTTGTAGTGCGGCAGCGGCCTTTCGATGAACAACCACTCTCCTCGCTCTTTCGGTTTTAGTTATTCGCGATCCGATTAGCACCTGGAGATATCAAATGTATCACCCTGTTGTGATTCAGGAAATTCATTCTGAATGAGAGACTTTAACATCCCGTTATTCATTCTAAATTATCGTCGTTTCATCAAGGCCGAAAAAGAACATGTCGCGAGATGGTAACATTTCGTTCAATGTTCTCAATCGTCGAAGTAAAAGAAATGGGCCTTTTTCTTTCCTACATAGGTGAACAAATCTTGGTTAAAATCATTCATCAAACAGCATCGAAGCGCAAGCCACCACTACTCATGATGTCTTCAAGTCGTGTGTAGTTTTCTCTCATTGGTAGTTGTTTACGTCGCACCATTAAGCTCGGTTAATTCAAGAATTCGGCCATGTAACTGAAACGTTTTTAGTTAAATGCAAAGGCCAAATTCGTTTTGCATACGAAATTCAGTAATACATAGTCCAATGGTAGTAAAGAATGGGTCATTTCAAATACCCTCTTGAGCCGCGACGAAATATAAGCACATTAAAAACTGAATTCCAGTTATTGGTCCCAAACATCGGCACAGTGTACCAACTACCTGTACTTCTTGACATATTCAACTGGCAAAGCGATCCATAACAGTGGATAATTATATATATGCACAGCATATCTGAAGCATCTATTGGTCGAGCATTGCATTCACTGTAGGACCACCTTTGCACCCGGTATCTAATGCGTTGATCAGACGTTGATGAATCGCTGTTTCCAACATATCCGTACTATTGAGATTGGGAACTTCCACCCTTTTTCATATTATTTGCACATTCTGACCATTAGTTCAAAAAAGCTAATGACAGGAATAACCGAGCCACCACTGCATTGTACGCTGCGTCCATTACACTGAAGTAGATATCATGTTACGGCAGATAATTCATAATTGGCCTAAGCCGCACGAATTGTGCATTATAATGGGAAAATCGGATTTCGTATCTCCACATATGTAGATTGCGTACAAGAGAATGAAGAAAGATGACTTCACATAACTACTCCATCGGCTGTATTTTATTGCACAGCCAACAAAAAGTCGTTAATGAGAACGCTGAAATAGTAGTCTTATGCAAGCATTGCCTTTTTTTGGAATTTCGATAAAACCGTGCCTAAGGCAAAACTCAACCACGTCTGTCGCCGGAAACGACGAAGAATAAGCGGGTAACCATCCCCGAGTTTTTCACTCGAATCGTCAAGACTGGACACGAAGAACCGTGCGTCCAACTGTGTGAGTTGATAGTATACATAATCCATCTTGTTATTTCATTCATGCACGCATATACTCAGCGATGTGCTCCCGCATTTCACAGCGACAAATGTCTTGACTGTACAGTCCAGCCTAACCGGGACACATGTTCGGTCAGTCTTTTTTGGTCTGAGATATCGAACGATCAATTTGATACCGTGCTCATCCTCTTGTCACAGACTCCAACCCGGAAAATGAACGAGTTCTACTCATCGTATTATAATTTGTTTGATTCCTCATCGGATCAGTAGTTTCTCAACGCGCGCATTACAACGGCGGAGAATTCGAGCAAGAGCGTGCAAAGTGAAACCTGAAACTGCACACTCAACTCAATCTCGGACTCTGCTATCCCTGATACACTCCCTCGTCCGTTGTGAGTCTGTGTGGTGGAAGTTTGAAAAAGAAATATACGTATTTTGGGTCATTTCACTCCCCCAAACCAACTTTTATTTTTATTCATCATTGGTTTTAGGTCTTTATGATAGACAGTGCGTGCGTAAATTCTACTATTGTTAAATAACTAAAAATTAACTGACTTTTTGCGGTCCCATCAGATGATCCGATTTTCACCCTTTTCTCTTCAAAAGAAATGCCATATTTGTTTTTATCTCCATACGGATGAACATTCCTTGAAATACTGGTTTTTTCTTTGAAGGAAGCTGCACCAAAATCGATTTATGTGACAATGTGAGACAGAGTATGCGCACACACACAGTCGCATGTACATCATTGCAAACACTTTACCGCCCCCCCCCCGCATTTCGAGTTGTGACATTTTGATCAGGGTTTTTAGCCGACTCCCCCGGTTGAATTGCCAGGGGTTCACCGACCCGGTTATAGTCTCGGAAGTTGTCTTTTGGTCTTCTCACTTTTGCATCACATGTAGGTGATGAGGGGGACTTCGTCAGCAGAGGTTATATGAGACGCTTGGTCGTGTGGAAGCATTTCATGGGGTGCAAATGACGGGGTCTACTAGTAAACCAAGATATCCACATTCTTCGATCATTATGACGCTTTCGGAGTTACTGGGTCTTTTTCTCTCTCTCTCGCTCTGTGTGTGTGTGTGCACGCGCAAACAACTTATCCTAGTTAATCAAATGATGCTGACGTGATTACTATAGAGAATGGATTTTTGTGTCCGTTACCTTATGGCTGGATCACCACGCCTGCCGCACACACATTTCCGATGGACGACTGATTAGCATTCATTTGACCATGATCATTTCTGCACAGGCAACAAAAAAAGAAGTGAAAACCTGTTGCTCGATTCAAATCGAGGTTACTCGTACTAACACGCACAAATCCATCATTGATTACCATCGAAA